GCGGCTGACTGGTAAATCACAGAGGGAAAGAAAAAGAAGCCATTATGTGTTTGGAAGACACATTATAATTATGCAAATAAATAAACTCATGATTGCATGATGAGGCTTGTAATAGCGGGATAACCTGAGGGAGCTAGTTATGCCTTTTGGGAGAAGCTGGTCAGGAGGATCCCAGACCCTGGAATAGTATTGCCGAAGGCCTGAAAAGATAAGTTTAGCAGACAGAGAGCTTGGAAATGAGTATTAAGACAGAGGAAGGGGCAAGAGGGAGGAAGGAATGCAGGCATGTTAGGAAATTAAAGTCATCCTCTGAGATCAATAAACTGTGTGGTTAAATCTGAGTTAGAGTTGAGAGGCAAAAGTTAGATTTAAGGATCTGTCAGGACTAGGTAAGGGATCGCTCTCTTACAACTTCATGGCTAGCTTCTGTATCCCTTTGACTATGGTTGAAAACATGCATGTGTATGTGGAGTTGTTTAACAACTGAGAAACTTCTGAGAAACACTCCACTGATGGGACACAGAGGACATGTTCTGAAAAAGATAAGGATGTGAGAAAGAGTATGACAATGGGATAAAGAGGCGACCTGAGCACATTCAAAAGCTAGTAGTTGGAGCCAGGCTGATTAGGGACTCAGGAGAGATTTTAGGTCAAGGGATCAGAAAGCACTGGGAAACCACTTGGCTGTTGGGTTTCAGTCTTTTATTTCTGTGTCCTCTATTTCCGTAGCCTCAGAAGCTTGTCTTTGCCCTGACTTGGTCAGGCCTGCCAGACTGTTACCACACTCTGGGTGCCTCTGTGTGTTGTACCCTGGAACTCCTGCCTCTGGTCAGTTAAGCCTTGGATGGTACTATAACAGTGCTGGGATGGTGTGCAGAACTGGTTCAAAAACCCAGACTGTGGGGAAAGCTCGATTTCCTGAGTGATGACAAAAGTTACTCATGGGAGATGTGGGGCCTTTGGTTTGGCAATGGTTTCATAGTATCATCATAGCACTGTCCTGTATAGGGGAGGGTTGTAGGACTGCAGAGAGGCTGTGGGATCCCTCTGGATTTCACGTCGCATGAGTGCTGAGGGCTCTTGCTCTGTTCATCATTTGGCATGATACTGCCAGTATTTTTGTTTGCCTCTCTCTTGCCATAGTAGATATATGTCATATAGCTCATCCCGTGAGCATTTAGTTCACCTAATAGTGAACTGTGCTAGCACGAATGGATTAGTCAGCTCTTCAGGCTAGATACTTTGACTGAAGGTACGTGCTTATTTCTCACTATGGTTGGGAGAGGCTTTTCTCCACCTTGAATAGACAAGAGATTTTTTAGTTCTATTTTGAAATACATATATTCAGGCAACCAACTTATTTAGACCTCTACCTATGTGTCACGAATTATACTAAATGCTGTGAGTAAATACTAAGGTAAAAAAGGTCCCTTCACTCAATGGGTTAGCTCTCTAGTGTGTGGGAGGATGGGGCAGAACAGATGCAAATGCAGAAGAATATTAGAAAATTTAGCAAATATCATGGTAGAACTTTCTTTGGATATTCTGGAGCCTCAGAGAGGGTACTTTGACTGTGAGGAGCACGGAGTTGAAAAGCAATTGTTTTGGTGTGTTTGTAGAACTGGAACCCACTTGGTACAGCCCAGGTATAAGGCTAGAGGTGGCATGGTGAGAGGAGGTTTGGAGGGGAGAATAAGCTAAGGCGTAGGAGGCTTTTTTCCTTTCTTCTCTCTCTTTTTTTTCTTTTCTCTTCTTTCTTTCTTCTTTTTTTTAATTGCTAGCGTGTGTACATGCTAGCCAGAAAAAGACAGAGAAAGAGGGAGAAAATACCTTCCAGTGGGGTGTGGTTACACTACAATTCCTTCTCCTCTCTTTCTCCATCTTGTTAGGATTTTGGCATGCACCCACTGTGTTCTTCAAGCTGCCAGGGCTGGGATTGAACCATGTAGTCAGTCACGTGGGATCCACCTGCTTTAACCACTAAGCAATGGGGCCAGTCCCACAGGAAGCTTATTACTGAACTTCATCCTGAAAGTGTGTAAGTGAGAGCTGGGAAACTTTCCCTTTCAGGAAGAACAGCATGTGCAGAAGACTGGGGACAAGAATGAGAGCACCAAAAAGGAGCTCAGCCACTCTGAAACACAAAAGGCAGAGACTCGAGCTGTGTGTTTGACTCTGGAGGGCATGACCTGAAAGGGACACTTGGTAAACATTTGTATTTGGTCTTTGGGGCAAAGGAGTTGAAACAAGGGGATTCCATAATCAGCCCCATATTTCTGAAGGTCACTCCAGCAGCTATATAGCAAGTGATCAAAAGGAATAAGACCAGAAATAGGCAGAAAAACTGGTCAGGAGGCAGATGCCCTAATTCTGGTGAGCAGTGATGGTGGCCTGAACTTAGAGGTGGCAGAGTGAGATGTCAGACCACACTGAGCACTTCATGCCTATTCCAGATTTTCAGAATATCATGACAGCCCAGCAAGGATGGCGTAGGTTATAGCGTGCCACTTAGTGAGATGGGTTGCATGGGAAGCCTGGTTTGTTTCCTGAATCATCTTGGACCAACTGGGTGTAGTGGCACGTGCCTGTGGTCCTGGTTGGCTGGGAAGTGGGGTGGGAAGATTATGACATGACGAGACCTGCCAGAAGTGCCTGTCTCACTTTTTCTCCCTCTCTCTCTCTCATGAAAAAAGAAAAAAAGAAAAAGAAAACATGAGATTTAAGGTATTAATTTAAAGATCTTTTATGTGCTCCATGTGCTGTCTCTACCCACACTACTGCCACATATTCTTGGCATGGACATCCTTGGGAAAGCCTCCTTCATCCCCCTAGCTGAGGTCCTCCCACAGCACCCTGAATATCCTCAGTCATAGCTCTCCTCAGGTTTTCTCATAATCACTGGCTCGTCTGCCAGTCTCTGCTAGACCGTGTACTTTGAGATAATAGCATCTAGTACAGTGCCTCGAACGTAGTAGATGCTCCACAGTTTGTTGAAAAGATAATACATTAATAGATGAATTATTAATTCAGATAGGTAAGATTTCTGTATTTTACCAAGAGATTTCTAATTGGTTCTAAGATAATGACTAGCTTCTTTCCTCCAGTACGATGTGATATGTTTTAAGAGCAACAAATGACAACTAATAAATAAAATACTGGCTTTTATGATTATTTTAATTATTGTAGATATCAGTCTATGATTCTAACATAAATTAAATAGACAAATAATCACATTTTAAACAAACATTTATAAATAGATCAGTTCTCTGGCTGTTTATTTTAAAACAAAACCAAATTGCTTAGCTTAGAATTGAAGAGTTCGTAACATTTGCCTCCCCTTCTCTTGGTCATCCTTATTTCTGGTGCCATCTAGCCTTGGGCACCATCAAGCCTGTCACCTGTCACTGAGCACCCTGCATCACCACACTGCTTGTGGGAGATGCATGCTCTGTCATCACTTAGTCTCCCATAAGCCTGAGTGCAAGCGTGGCGCTTCTGACATTTCCCTTGGTTAGTGTAGATAGTCTAGAAGTTCCCCTCAGCTGGCTTAGTCCAAACCCCTCCCTGCTGGGTGAGGAAGCTGGCCTGTGGAACAGATCTCCCCTCAGCCTGAGCTGCCTCTAGTTCTCAGCAGCACCTCCCCTCCTTTACAGTTAACACAGACTGCATAGCTTGGTGCTTGGTTCTGTAGTGCAGTCTTGACCTTCGGATGTCTTGCATGTGTCGTCTTACCTATCTAACAAGGTAATCAAGTCTTCAAGAACTGAAGTTGTGTGACACATTGTTTTTCTCCCTGGCCCCACTAGCATTAGACACTGTGTATGTGAGAGTATAAACCTTGGGGTGACAATTCCTGGTAACCCTTCCTAACACAGCCATGACATGCACGTTGCACCCAAGAAACATTTCATTTAGCTTATCCTAGTCACTCCTGAAGATTCATACAGGATTCCTGCCGTGACTTCACTT